CTCCTCTCAGACCTCTCCTCTGTCAGTCCTTACATTGGCTTCCTGTATCATATATATCCAATTAAAGGTACTTATCCACACCTATAAAGCACTGACCAATTCTAGTCCGTCCTATATCTCTTCACTGATCCACAGGTATGCCCCTACTCTGTCTCTCTGCCCATGACCTGTCCGCTGTTCACACCCATACGGCCAACTCACGCTTGCAGACTTCTCGCGGGTGGCTTCTTTCTTTTGGAATAGCCTGCCTACCACCATCAAGCTCTCCCCTAGTCTTTAATCATATAAAAAGTGCCACAAAACCCATCTCTTTAAGGAAGCTTATGGCCTCCACGAGTAACCTCTACCTCACATTCCTGTCCCTTGCTCTCTCCTAAAGGGCAGCACTCTATTCTATCCTCTGCTCCACTCCACCTTGATTGAATGCAACCTCGTGTCCTGTTGTGTTTTACACCCCACCTCTTATAGACTGTAAGCTCATTTGAGCAGGGTCCCCTTCAACCTATTGTTTCTGTAGGTTTTTGTAATTGTCTCATTTATTGTTAAATCTCCCCCTTTGATAATATTGTAAAGCACTACGGAATATGCTGGCGCTATATAAATACCAGTAATTATAATAATATATTATGCTCTGAATAAGCCATGTTATAATACATGGTTCAAGTACTGGTCATCTTTTGGATTCTTATTAAAATAGCTCTCTGCCCTGCAGAGGAGAAGCAACTTGCTGGGCCTCTCTTTTTTTATTTCTGAGAGACCCAATTAGCTCTCAGTTTAGTCAGTGGAGCTCCAATAAAATTACATGGGATATAAATCTGGACCTTTTTAGATTGTAAGCCCATGGGCAGGGCCCTCTACCTGTTGTATTGGTCTGTTCTTATTGTATTGTCTTTTTCCCAATTGTACAGCACTGCAGAATATGTTGGCGCTTTATAAATACCTGTAATAAATAAAATAAAATAAAATACATCTCTGCTCATGGGTTAAGAGCAATTGGTCTAGACCATATACTAGTAAGACCAGATAATCAATTTACACTAAATATGTTTTACTGTCCTTCAGACTCTGTAAATACTATATTAAATATTTATACAAACACAAGTATCAAAAAGTATGCATTATTTCATATGACTATCTGTTGCAACAAGCAATATAGCTTTCTTAATGAAACTGACTTGTACACATCTACAAAACTATACTCTGAGCTTTCCCGTATGACATTGAGAAATACTCAAAGAAAAATAAATCTTCCCATACCACGTGTTTCATATCAGTGAAATTAGTGACTTGTGCATTTAGACCCAGACATGAAACCAGCAGATCACAGTACCTCTGTTACTAAATTGTGCATTGTGGACCTACTGAGTGACATTAAGGTGAATATTTCATTGGTTAAAGAAGAGCTTCAAACTTTGACGAAGAGCATACGAGTTATGGAAGAAGATATTTCAGCACTGTGGAGTATGATACAGTCCCATGATATGAGTGGGTGCTGTTTTTGAACTAAATTTAAAAATTCAGTTGCCAGAAGGTTAATTTAAACAATCCTACCTCCACAGAGGGAACCTTTGGATCTCCAAGTCTCCTCATGCCCCTCAAGATTCTCTGTCTTCAGGCACAATGTCATTTGCTTTTGAGGAGGACCTTACTTTCTATCAAGATTTATGTCATGCTACTCTTCAAAGGAGATCATCTCTGGGACATGTCACTATGTGATCTGGGCATAGCATACAGGTGCACCAGGTGCATTGTTGATTTTAATCATTATAATTTGACATCTACTTCTGCATTTCCTTTGCCCCTGGACCTCTCTTATTTGCCTACTACAGAATCTGGCCTTCCACAACTTCGACATTTGCTGTGCCGCACAAGTAGGAAATAACAGGGGTCTCCCCATTTATTTTTCATCCTATGGGTGGCATTTTGATGGGCCTCTGCATGTTTTCTCAGTTTTGCATTGGGTTCTGGTGTTTTGCCTTTAGATTTAATTTTGTTTTTTGTTTATTATTGTTATATTTTGCTTGGTTAATGCACAAAACAATGGGAACGTCTATCTAATATTCTTAAGATTTTCATCCTATCTGCGTTCCCTGTCTTAAGGTCACAGGTTAGTGGCCATCATTTTAGAGGCATCCATAGAGGTAGGTCCATTTATCCCTTCAGTTTGATTTGAAGAGAGGTGACCTTATTTCAAATCATAGTTTCTAAACCTTGATACATGTCCTCAGTGGGCTTTCACTGCTTTTTGTACTTCTGTTATTACTCTCCAGCTCTTTGAGGGCACTTCCTGGACCATAGCACAGAAAACCTATGCTATAGATCTGGGTTTATAAATACCTGTGTGAGGACCTCCAGCGTTGTTAAAATCCCCATAGGAAAACATTGAAAAGCATTTTCAATGCTTTCCTGTGGAGAGCTCTAATGCGCGTGCGCGACATTGCTGTGCGCGACATTGCTGTGCATGCACATTAGGTCTCCTCAGCCGGCGGAATCAGTCTCGCCCACCGGCTGACATAAGGAAGAGGAGCAGCGGTGGCGACCTGAAACCACCAACGAGGGACATCGGAGGTGGTCTCAGGTAAGTGACTGAAGGGGTTTTCACCCCTTCAGCAACCGGGAATGGGGGGGTGGGAGGGAGAGGGGACCTGCAGTGCCAAAAAAACGGATTGTTTTCCTGGCACTGGAGTGTCCTTTAACTTGGCTGGATGTTGTGAAGGGGTTTTTCTTTATCATGGAAAGGATCCTACATATAATCCACCACTGTTGTTTTCTGTGGACGTCCAGGCCTTTTTGTGCTACAGAGCTTACCGGTGCATTATTTTTTTCTCAGAATGTACCAAACTGTTGATTTGGTAACTCCAAATGTTTCTGCTATCTGTTTTTTTGCAGCCTAAGGATGGCCTGCTTCACTTGCATTGCAAGCTCTTTTGATGTTGTGGGTTCACAGCAACAGCTTCCAAATGTGAATGGTAATCAACCCTAGACTTTTTAGCTGCTTAAGTGATGAAGAAATAATGAAATAATGTCCATTAACAGCTTTTAAGTCAATTGTCTAATTACATTTGGTCACTTGAAAAAGAAGCACTACAAATTAAAGAGTTGACATTCCTAAACTCTTCCTCCAGTTTAGATGCGAATACCCTCAAATTAAAGCTGAGAGACAATATTCATTATTTATCTGTAACTTGAATTTATTTTGGTAAACAGACAAAATACCACAATGTAATAAAATAACAGGGGTCCAGGAACTGCTTGGTTCAAGATAGGCACTTAATTGGAACCACAGCAACATTTCGACCGAATAGGTCTTTGGCTTGACAAAGACTTATTCGGTCGAAAGGTTGCTGTGGTTCCAATAAAGTGCCTGTCTTGAACCAAGGAGTGCCTGGACCCCTGTTATTTTATTCAATTGATCTCAAGAATCTGGTGTTTGGTTCTGGTACAGCAAGCACCCTGGCTCTGACTGATGGGAGCTAGTGCAGTTCCATACATCGTTTCATAGAAATAACAAAATGTGTCAGTGTTTAAAAAATGTTCGGACCTAATTTTAGGTGTTTTGGGGGGTCCCATTTCACAGGCTATAGTTGTTGTCTAGTATTGCATATGATGAGGGGTTTGTTTTACTGTGTTCATCATGTTTGCAGGGTGATTGTTCTTGATGATCTGAATTGTTCTTGATGATCTGTATTTTTTTTGTGAAAATACCCTGTATTTTACAAATAACACCAAAAACAATATTGTATATAAAGAAAACATTTGGGTGTGCATGTAGGTTTGTTATAAAGTTCTATATATATATATATAAATTCAATATAAATTCCAAAAATCAAGTAAAAATAAATGTGTGGTGTTTTCAAAATTAGACTGGCTAATAGTTTTCAATACATTTTAGTGTCACATCATAAATTTCTTAAATTAGGGATTTTATTCACATTAGGTATCATTAGGATGAGCTCATCCTGAAATGCACATGAAATGAAATACGGTTTTCAGACTACCTAAATTCATCTGTATGAAAAATGTAAACTGTTCTGACTTTCCAACCACAAAACGTAATTGAGGTAGAAGAACTGAGATTCTATAATAATATGTAATGTGAAATGTAATTTTACTGGAAGTGAAACTATGGGTAATATACGTTGATAGGCTTGACCTTTTTTCCTCATCCTTATATTTCATGCATTTTATGTATTGCCATCTTTACGCACATTTTCAAACCTGTCAACAAATCTTGATGGATGGCTTTATTTTCTTCAACAAATATCTATTAGAAATGAAGGTGAACTGAACGTATAGTATCTGAGTTTTTATAAGAAAAGGTGAGCTTAGGTTCTTGAATAGTCGCAAAACTGGAAGATAAAGTTGTGATTGTGTCATTTGTGATGGATTTAGCACTATTTTAGACTGATAGAAATAGAGATGGTTAGATTGGCAGTATATTACCCATATTATATTCTGACATTCACTGGAAAGTATTAAAATAAAGTAAAAATGTTTTAATAACTTAGATTTATTTTTTTCTGGTTCTAAAGCTGATTTAAGTATATTGAAGAATTGCACAAATATAACTATGCTAATCTTAGCCAAGAGAGTGGGCTCCATTGGTGACATGAAGAGATATACAAGGAAGAACTAGAGTCAGATATGAAAAGAGAAACAGGGTGTACATGAAAGAAAAAGTCTAATTCCATAATTGTGAAAATTATTAGTATCCTTACAGGTAACTAGGTGGGAGAGAAATGCACGTAACTCTATTAATTTTGTGTGAGAAAGAGAAACACCTGGATATTAATGTTGTCAGGACAAACCAGACAATTTAGTGTGGCTGCAGGAATATTTACACATACAGTCTACTGGACTTAAAACTCATCAGCACTCATGAAAAATAATTAAGGCAGTATTACAAAACATTTGCTTTCATTATTTTGACATAAGAAAAGTATATAGTCACCTGATCTCCCTGGATTTGTCATATTTCTAATCATTCCTCTCAAGACCCTAGGCCAGGCTTACCCAAACTCCGGCCCTCCAGATGTTGTTGATCTACAAATCACATGATTCTCAGTCTATCTATTTCATTCATAGAATCATTGGAGTTGTAGTTCAGCAACATCTGGAGGGCCAGAGTTTGGGGAAGCCTGCCCTCACATGGTTGGAAATGTGTTTTAATGATATGTTCAGCCCTTATTTTTTGTATCTTTCCCATCCCCCCCTCCCTTACCTCTTTTTCCCTCTTCCCCCTCCATGCCTCTTCTCTGAGCTTTACCTCTCGGTTGGACCTCTCTGCTGGTTAGCATGGTGCCCTCGATTGGGTGTGCATGTAGGTTTGCATCTTTGTGAGATGTAATCTCAATAATATTATGTTGCTTTTATTATTGTCATGTATGCAATCACTATCTAGGTATGCACCGACAAATGTGGTTGTGATTTTATGTTTCTCTATTCTATACATGCTTTAAATAAATAGAATGTGTAAACTAAAATCTTTCATAAAACACTATTGATTTACAATGCTCTTTTACTTGGTATTTTTGTGTGTGTGTAGGCATATACCACATATAAAATAAATATAACACGATTTTGGCTAAGCAAATAGTTGTTTTAGCTTTAAAAAAGCCTTTTACCTAACAAGTATTCAGGCACATAGTTTTGCATGTTCCTTACAGGTTTCTTTCTTCAGTTTTCATGGTTCTTTGCCTAAGAAACAAGTTTCCAGGCAACTTGTAAAAGTGGCCCCTTCTCCCCAGTAGTCAATCAGGCAACCCCAAGAAGTGGTCCTTGCTCAGCAATAAGCACCCTGACATCTTTGGAAAGTTGTGCCTTGCTTGTTGATAGCCACCTAGAAACCCTTCAAAGAAAATGTCCCCATGCAAATAAGTACCAGTATTAGAAAAAGGGTCCAGGCACTCCAATATCTTAAGGCACCTTTTTTAAAATATGCAATGTTTTGAATACCAATGAGTGTGTGAGGAACTGACTCTGCTGGGTTTCGAACCCTGGTTTACATGGTGCTAAACCTCTTCCTTACCAGTACACCAGCCTGCCTTTTGCAAATTTACCTGAGATCTGATACCATTGCTTGTAGAGTCAAGGTTATCAGTGACAACTCTCTTCAGCTGTGTCTGGTCAGGTGTCTGGTTCTTGGCCTATAAAAGCCACTTCCTGTCTCTGTACCTTTGCCAGATTATTGTGGTTCCTGTACTCTCTAATCAAGCGTGTTCCTGTTTCTCCTTCCTGTTGCTGAATTTGGACTGTTTTGACTTTGCTGCTTCTCCTTCCCACTGACCTCGGCTTGCCTCACTATGATTATCATCTTTCTGTTCCAGTCTCCCATCTCTACTTAAGACCAGAAGGCCACTTAAGGCTCAGGGGCTCAACCACCTGGGTAACGAGTGGCTACCTCTGGCAGAAAACATTGCTGATCTGGCTACTGGACTCCAAAACTTTGTAACATCAATATCATTACAGAATAATCTGGCCCATTCATGGAGACCGTCGGATCAGATTCTGCATTGGCCCAGCAGGTTGCTTTTAATGCAAGAACTATGCAGACCCAGGCACAGACCATTCAAGTGCTGCAGGATCAGGTAGCTGAACTGCAAAATTAAGTTTGATCAATGCATAGTGAGCTTACCAGCTACAGGGCACATGATGTTGCGGCTGCTGCTACTACTACTGTTACAACTGCACAAGATGCCCGCTTGCCTCTACCAGAAAAATTTGGAGGAGACCGCAAAAAATTTAGGGGTTTCCTAAATCAATGCCGTTTGCATTTTATGATGTTACCTAACCGTTTTCCATCTGAAAGAGAGAAGGTGGGATTTATTTTTTCCCTCTTCAAAGATGAAGCCCTGGCCTGGGGCTCCCCTTTTCTGGAACAGGACAGTCCAGTCTTGGGAAATTTAAAAGACTTTCTTGAGGCCATGTGCCTAGTTTTTGATGATCCCAATCGCTGTGCTACAGCAGAAGCCACTCTCCTTCATTTACATCAAGGGAGGCACTCTGTGGCTGAATATGCTGCTGAATTCAGACAGTGGGTTACTGATACTACTTGGAACCAATCAGCCCAGAGGTTCCATTTCAGAAGGGGTCTCTCAGAAGCTATAAAAGATGAGCTAGCTCGTGTTGATCTTCCTGTTGAGTTTGATGCATTTGTGCGGTTGGCTATCCGTATTGATCGGAGACTTTCAGAAAGAAGATTGGAAAGACAGGGCTCTTTTAAACCAAGTGCTACTCCTACTTTCTATTCAAGAATTTCTACTCCGACCCCACAAACACCTACAGACTCTGAACCTGAGGCTATGCAGGTAGATCTAATAAGAGGGCCATTATCCAATGAAGAAAAACAGTGGTGACGCACTCACAATTTATGCCTGTATTGTGGTAGTGCAGGGCATTATGCCATCAATTGCCCTAACAAGTCTAAAAGAACAATAGCTATGACTGCTGAGGGTGCACAGATTCAACACCAATCCCAGATTTCAGACCAACTGGATTCTGTCACACAACCCTTGTTTTCTCTGGCTCAGGGTGAAGAAGGTATGATGACTCAACATCCTCATTTGGTGGTGCCTATCACTTTGCAATATGGTGATAATAAAATTTCAACTACAGCTATGATAGATTCCGGAGCAGGCGGAAACTTTATGGACATTAAATTTGCAGCAGGAAATAAAATTCAGTCTATCCCTAAATCTTCACCTGTGTTAATGGAAACAGTAGACGGTTCTCCACTTACGTCAGGCCCGGTTACACATGAGACTGTGCCCTTAAAATTGATTCTGGAAGTGAATCACCATGAGTCTATATCTTTCCACCTAATTTCCTCAACACAGTTTCTAGTGATTTTGGGTATACCCTGGCTTGCTCTGCATAACCCACAGATTGATTGGAAGACTAGAACCTTGTCCTTTCCTTCAGAACACTGCTTAATGAATTGTCAACCCTCTAAGGCGACACCTGTTACCACAACAATTAATGAAATGGTTGCTACAAACTTAACTAAGCTTCCTCTACAATATCGTGATTTTGCAGATGTCTGTGATAAGAAGAATGCTGATCAGCTTCCACCTCACAGGCCTTATGATTGCCCCATAGAGCTGCTACCTGGAGCTGCTATCCCATTTGGCCGTATATACTCCCTTTCTGAGCCTGAATTGAAAGCACTTCGTGAATACATACAAGAAAATCTTGTCAAAGGCTTTATTCGACCATCCACTTCTCCAGCAGGAGCTCCTATATTCTTTGTAGAAAAGAAAGATGGCAGTCTACGGCCATGTGTCGATTACAGGGACATTAATAAAATCACTGTTAAAACCCGTTATCCCTTGCCTCTCATTCCTGAACTTCTGGAGAGACTTCGTTCAGCTAAAATATTTACGAAGCTTGATCTACGGGGGGCATATAATCTGGTTCGCATAAGACCAAATGATGAATGGAAAACAGCTTTCAGAACCAGGTACGGACATTACGAATATCTAGTAATGCCATTTGGGCTTTGTAATGCCCCTGCAACTTTTCAGCATCTAATCAATGATGTACTACGGGATCTCCTGGATCAGTTTGTTGTGGCATATTTGGATGATATCCTGATATTTTCTGATAATCTTGAAAATCACAGAAAACAGGTCTGCATTGTTCTTGAGCGCCTTCGTACCCACCACCTGTACATTAAACTGGAAAAATGTGAGTTTGAACAAACAGAAATTCAGTTCCTGGGGTATGTAATAACTCCTAAAGGTTTAAGTATGGACGCAAGTAAAATTAAAGCTGTGCTTGACTGGCCCATCCCCAAGAATGAAAAAGATATACAGAGATTTGTGGGGTTTGCCAATTTTTACAGGCGTTTCATTAAGAATTTCTCTGCCGTTATTACACTGATCACTGAACTTACACGTAAAGGGACTCCTTTTCAGTGGTCCAATAAGGCTGACACTGCATTTTCCAGATTAAAGACTCTGTTTACATCTGCCCCTATCTTGGTACATCCTCAGCCAGAATTGCCATTTACTGTAGAGGTAGATGCTTCTGATTCAGCTGTTGGGGCTATACTGTCTCAAAGGACTGGACCTAAGATGTTGTTACATCCATGTGCCTTCTATTCCCGCCAGATGTTACCAGCAGAAAGAAATTATGACATAGGGAATAAAGAACTTTTGGCTATAAAAGCTGCCTTCGCCGAATGGAGACATCTCTTGGAGGGAGCCACCCATCCAATTACTGTCCTCACAGATCACAACAATCTGGAATGTATTCAATCCGCTAAGAGACTGTCAGCCAGACAAGCACGCTGGTCCCTATTTTTCTCAAGGTTTAATTTTTTTATTTCATACCGCCCTGGTTCCAGAAATGGCCAGCCTGCCTTTTGCAAATTTACCTGAGATCTGATACCATTGCTTGTAGAGTCAAGGTTATCAGTGACAACTCTCTTCAGCTGTGTCTGGTCAGGTGTCTGGTTCTTGGCCTATAAAAGCCACTTCCTGTCTCTGTACCTTTGCCAGATTATTGTGGTTCCTATACTCTCTAATCAAGCGTGTTCCTGTTTCTCCTTCCTGTTGCTGAATTTGGACTGTTTTGACTTTGCTGCTTCTCCTTCCCACTGACCTCGGCTTGCCTCACTACGATTATCATCTTTCTGTTCCAGTCTCCCATCTCTGCTTAAGACCAGAAGGCCACTCAAGGCTCAGGGGCTCAACCACCTGGGTAACGAGTGGCTACCTCTGGCAGAAAACATTGCTGATCTGGCTACTGGACTCCAAAACTTTGTAACATCAATATCATTACAGAGTGTTTCTCAAGCCAATGCAAATAAGTGACCAAAAAAGCCCAGGAAAGTGGCCCATGCTTGAGAATAAATGCCCTAGGTTCTCCAGGAAAGTGATCCTTGCTAGCTAAAGGTGCCTGTCAACAGATGCCCCGGCTCTACAGGAAATGGCCCTTGCTCACTAATACACACTCAGGTACATCAATAAAGTGATCACCGTTCGACAATACTTTATTATTATTATTATTATTATTGTTACCAACAGATTCAGTAGCACTTTACAATATTATGAGAGGGTGGATTTAACTATAAATAGGACAATTGCAAGAAAATTGAGGCTTTACTGCAGAGGCCACTTCTGGTGTTGCCATAGTGGCTACTA